TTTTTTTTTTTTTTTTACTTTTCTCTTCTTTCCTTCGCCCTTCCCCTCTTTCTTGTCCCCCTCCCTATGTGAACTTTTCTACTTATTTCACAATACCTATTATATATTTTGGTCCTTATTTATACTTTTAGTTTCTCACACCAGAAGAAACAATCCGGTATTTACACATGTGTGTCTGATTTATTTCACTTAAGAGTATGGTCTCAAGGTATATCCATTTTCCTAGAAATACCTGGAGCGTATCTTTCTTTATGGCAGAGTAGCACTTCATGATATAAATTAATCACATCTTCTTTATCCATTCAGCAGTTGATGGGCATTTGGATTGTTTCCAAGATTTGGCTATTACAAACTGTGCTGCTATAAACATGGGTGTGCATATATTGCTGTGGTTTGATGCTTTTAGTTCTTTCAGGCAGATACCAAGCAAGTGAATAGCTGGGTCAAATGGAACTTCTAATTTTATTTTTTTGAGGCATTTCCATACTGATTGCACCAGTGTACACTCCCACCGACAGTGGAGGTTCCTTTTACCGCACAGCCCTGCCAGCATTTGTTACTTTTTGATTACTTGGTAATAGCCATTCTTTCTGGAGTGAGATGGAATCTCAGCATTGTTTTAATTTGCATCTCTTGAATGACCAGTGATGTTGAACATTTTTTCATATATTTATTTGCTGTTTGTATTTCTGTATCTGAGAAGTGTGCATTCATCTCAGATGCCCATTTTTGAATTGGGTCTTTAAATTTGGGGCTCTGATTGTTTTGAGTTCTTTATATGTTCTCAATAGTAATCCTTTGTCTAAGGAACAGTGGGCAATTTTTCTCACACTGTGGGTTGTCTCTTCACTCTGTTGGTGGTTTCTCTTTTTAGTAAGATGAGATCCCATTTGTTGACTCTTTGTGATAGTTCCTATATGATCATGATTTTGTTTATAAAGTCTTTGCCTACACCAGTATCTTCAAGAGTTTTACCTGTTCTATTTTCTAGCAGAATTAATGTTTCTATTTTAATATTTAGCTCTTTGATCCATTTCTACTTTAGTGCATGGTGCAGGATATGGGTCCAGTTTTAATCTTCGTCATGTGCAAAGCCAGTTTCTGAAGCAGTGTTTTTATTCCCATATGGACTGTAGTTGCTGTTGCTCACACACAAAATAAGTTGTAATATATCAGAGACTAGATTATTATTGACATTAAACGAGAACTATTAATAACTAGTTTTTATTTTACTTTCCTCATAAAACTTAAAGTGATAGATTATAGACTTGAAATCCTTAAATCGTAGATGCATATGATAGAATATTGGTTGTAGCATTGACTTCATATCTTTAATATATCATGATTTTGAAAGAATGTGTGAATAAGTGTAAATTTCAACTTCTAACTTCATTCCTGTTATCCCTATCCTCAGACAGTTTCGTTTCAGGTAATTTTGGCCCAAGATAAGGGAGCACTAAATATTACAAATTTTTTGAAAACCACATTTACTGTCTCCTTCAGTGTTTAAAATAATGTGTCCAAATGTACTAAAGAACTGATTCAGATCAAAATTCATGTTGATAGCAATAATAATCTTAATTAGACTAAAGATCTGTTACTCTCATTCATCAGTTTTAGGAAGTGCTTTAAGAAAAGAACCATGCAAGGGTAGTGGTAATGTATTTGTTAAGAATTGGAAGTAAAAGAGTATTGCCTAATGGAGAACCTATATTTATCAAGTCATACTGCAATGAAAAATTTTAAGAATTAATGAATATTCATGTAACTTATTACCTTCTGGCAATACAAAAAATGGAAGACTATAAGATTAAAGAAGGAAAATCATTGAAATATTTTCTTTTAAAACCAAGCAGAACAGAGAATTTACCAAAATGTAAAAATGCACACTAATTAGCATTATTAGAAAGCCTGATTACAAAATGGTATTTAATTACAGTCCAGTAACAAAAAATAATTCTAAAACCAAGCTATAAGTTTAAGAAGATTATTTAATTCTGTAGTTAACCTTACTGATATTTATAGATTTTAGGTCCTTTCTGACTCTATGGTTTTATAATTACATCTGACATAGGGAGTGTAGAAGAAACCATTGTCCATAAATAATTTATAGTCTTGTCAGAGAGCCCAACTATATGTACAGAGCCAGCCTAGTGTGATGGCTAAGTACAGAAGTTCTAGAATCAGACCGTCTTTTGGTTAGGTGTGTGCCCTTGGGCCTCTTCGTTCCTCAGCTTCCACAAATATGGGTATTACTCCTTCATCATAGGTTGTTGAGCAGATGAAAAAAATTAATACAGGTGAAGTACCTAGAAACTGCCTGAATTTTTCTCTTCTGGCTAGAACATAAGGTGCACATCATTTGTTTAATGAACATTTAATGGCTGGATAACAGTACTGTAAAGACCATGATTTAAAAAGTATGTGGATAATGTATAGCTTTCTTGGGTATTCACATGGACATAGCTATATTGCAGAATTTTGCTAAAGGCCACAGAGGTGAGTTGAGATTTGTGCTATGTACTGAACTAGTGCTGTGTACTGAAATTTGTACTGTGTTAATATGGTTGAATTGGGAGATAGAAGTAAATAAGTTCAGAAGAGAGTAAATGAGAGGGGAAAACAAGTTTTGTTGGATTAATCAGCTGTGTTTTAGGTTAGGATAATTGATCTTGTTACTTTAACTGGATTGGTTATATTGTTACGAATTTATTTAGTTTCTTTGGTTTCATACAATTATCAATACTAGAATTTCACCAAATTCTTGAAAATAGACTAGAATAGGAATTATGTGTTTATTATTAGAATAGAAATTATGGTGTTTATTATGTGTCTGATAAAGAGTATATGAAATAAAATTTGAAAATTATTATGTTTTCGGTATCATTGTTACGACTTAAACACTTCTCTCAAGCAAATTGACAATATCTTCTGTATTAGAGTTCTGTATAGTAACCCAGTCGATAGAAAATATATGTACAATTATGCACATATTTATAGGTTCAGAGAATGAGTCCATGATGGCTGTCTCCATACTGGAGAGCTACAGGATCCAGTAGTTACTTAGCCCAAGAAAATGGAAACCTCACAACACGAGGGATTGAAAGTTTAGGCTGAAGGCCTAGAAACTCACTGGAGGATCACTGGTATGAGTCTGTGTTAGAAGGCTGAAGAAACTGGAGATCAGTGGCCAAAGGATCTCATCGAAAACAGGACACTTCCTTCTTTCCCTTTTTATTCCATCCAGATGACAGGCCTATTGGACATCTAGAGTGGGTCCTTTTCCATCAGTTTGATGGAGTACATGTGACTTATTACAGACATACCCAGCACTGTGCTTTATTAATCTGCTAGGTGTTTCTTAATCCATTCTGGTTGACATGTCATGATTAACAGTCACGTCTTCACTGTTATATATTGTAGGTAATTAACAATGCCTGTGCTACTCAAGCCATTGTAAGTGTGCTATTGAACTGTACCCATCAAGATGTCCATTTAGGAGAGACGTTGTCAGAATTTAAAGAATTTTCGCAAAGTTTTGATGCAGCTGTGAGTATACTCTTTTTCCTAATTTTAAATGACCTATTTGTGGTAGTTCTTATTTTAACAGACTACTTTTTAAATTTTTTCAGATGAAAGGTTTGGCATTGAGCAATTCAGATGTGATTCGACAAGTGCACAACAGTTTTGCCAGGTAAATAGGCTTTTTGTTAAATAACTACTGTTTCATTTTTTGCTTCTTTGTCTCTCACTATTATTTTTTCTTTACTGTAGACAACAAATGTTTGAATTTGATGCAAAGACATCAGCCAAAGAAGAAGATGCTTTTCACTTTGTCAGTTATGTTCCTGTTAATGGAAGATTATATGAATTGGATGGATTGAGAGAAGGACCGATTGATTTAGGTAATTTGGTTCCTGTTCCTGTTATTTCTCATTTAGCAAGGGAAAATAAGTTTGTTTTGTACACAAGATTGCTTAAATTTTAAAGGCAAAAATTACTTACTGTGAGATGGTATAATATGGAAGTCTTAGGTTTTTTAATAAAATTAATATATAGGAAGGACACGTTGACTACTATATTTGAGTTTAACTTTTTAGGCTCATTTTTTCTGAGAAAATATTTTTTAGCACAGATCATATAATTTATATTTTATTTTCCAGTTAACTTTTAAAAACTACTGTTAGTGAACTTGAAAAGTTGTTCTTGTTATTTTTAACCCAATGATAAAGGATAGCAAGCATTTGCATTTGGAATTGAACCATTCAGAATTACATTATTGTTTGTCTGTCTACTAAATTTTCTTTTTAGGTGTGCATTAATATGCTGTCCTTTATATGAAGGGTAAATTTTTTCCTGTCCTACCCTATCTTCAATGTTAAGCGAAAATAATAATTATTCAAGTTCAGAGTACAATGTATGATTTTGAAATATTACTGGCATAACTTGTTTTCAGGATTGGGGATTGAAAGCCTTACCACTGAGCTCTATCCACACCTTCCCACAAAAGAATTGTAGCTCCTTGTTTTGACCTCATTATATGTATTTTTTTTAAATTATATGAAGTCCAGCAAAATTTTTGTTGAGTATGATATTATATGCAGTTCATAAAACTTATCCTTTTATACATAAAAAAAAATTTAGAGCTGGGGAATAGTTCAGTAGTAGAGGGCTTCCTAGCATGTGTGAGGCCCTATGTTTGATCCCTAGCATACAGCACAGCACAAAAAGTTAATGTAGTTTAATTTTGTTTGTACTTTTTGCTTGTACCACATGTATGGAACTAATAGTTTATCTAGTACATCTTTACACGCTATCTCTATATTTAAAAATACTTATTTTTCCATATTTGTTATTAAGAAACTAGTGGAATGTTTTTTCAGTTCTACAGAAGATGCTTTTCCCTAGTTTGATGGTTGATATGATATTTACATGTTCTTTGTGGACCTCTCTCTGGTTAGCTGCTTATTCACTTGAATCATCAAGCATAAGAAAGTAAAAGAACACAGTAGTGAGTTTTACTGTACATCTGGTGGCTATGCTAAAATTTATGGTGAAAAGAGGATTAAAAGATTTGAATAAAATTGATCTTGCATTATGAGTGGATTTCAGTTTTTTTATTTTAGAGTTATGATTGTGGGAAATTAAAAAAAAATTGAATAAATAAGCATTGAATTAACATGTAGGCTGTTTTTCTAAGCCTTCAATTTTATCATCTGTGAAATGAAAGTAGTTATTTCAAGAGTTATCAGGTTAAGTGAGATAGCTTCTTAAGTATTTGCTTAGTATGTACTAAGTGACATGATAATATCATAATGAAAATTATGATAATTCTCCTAACTTCCACCAAGAAAGTAAGAATTGAAGCTTAGCATAGTTATTCTAAAAAGATGTATACAGTCCTGAATTTGTTAAAGTATTTATAGAAAGGAGTATTTTAGATCATACTGTTGAGAAAATGTCAATATTGATATTTCTTATTTTTGTTTTAACTTTTAAAATTTCTTTCTAGGTGCATGCAATCAAGATGACTGGATTAGTGCAGTAAGGCCAGTCATAGAAAAAAGGATACAAAAGTAAATACTCAGCCAAATTCATTGGTATAAAATTGTGGTTGTTAAATGTTTTGCTGTTGTTACTGTTTTAAGTGTGAATCAAAAATCTACCTTTTTTTTTTTTTTTT